AGTTTTTGTAAAACTGTGAATTTGTGTTTGCCAATAGGGTGTCTTGGTAACCCATGAAAATGCACTTGTAAAATGCGGAGTGATTTGCATTGTTGTTGAGTGCAACTGCTTGACCACTGTTTATTGGAGCTGAGTTCTCAATGGTTAAAGACTGGCCGATAAAGCCTTCCCCATCAACAGCTGTAAAAACAAAAATCTATCAGTAATTCGAATTCGAGATTAGTCAAGGTACTCCGAATATCCGGTTATTAAGAAACATACTATATATTTAGAATTTTACTCAAAAATATCAATATGTGTTTCAAATTCATTTAAGTTTAAACCTCACAATATATCAATTCAATTTCAACCATAAATTCATTACTGAAAATGTATACATATGTTAGGCTAAAGAGGATGATGAGAATATAACCAAAACTTCAACCATGCAGGCTAGATTCAAAAATAAATATGGAAAAATTACAACCCATATAGTGTTAGAAAAATAATTACAAATTCATTGAAAAACTTATGATTTTAATTATTAATATTAATACATTTTTTTACTAATCTATAAATATTTTTATAAAAATAAACTGATTTGTAATTTCCTCAATAAATATTATCAACACTTGTTTTTCCAACTTTTTTCATGCAAAAAGATTTAACTTTTTAAAAACATACTGGTAAAAAAAATTACTTCATCAACCCTAAACACATGCAAACTAAAAAACAACCAAAATAGAATTGCTTGCAAGAGAGTGAGTGAAGTTTACTCATTGTAGCAGACTGTGGAGTTCCAAATCCCATGGCATTACTCCGGTTACCCGTAATTTTTGTGGTGGCAGCGTCATCACCAATCAGAGCAATGTTAGTCTTGTCCTCTCCCACCACCACATATTCACTGTAAACCCCCGGCTTGACGCGGATATAATACCTATCATATTCATAAAACGTAGTAAATAATTTTGTTTTACTTTTTTCAATAATATCTTTCTTCTTTTCTTTTTTTTTTTAAGTACTGAAAGTTTGTTGTCAGTTGTTAAATAATACCTGTTGGTTACACTGATATGCATAGGAGCAGCAGCAATCGCATCGTTGATGTGTCTGTAATTTCCCGAGCCATCTTGTGCAACTGTTGCATTGAAGATAATGTTGGTCTGAAGTGAAATGGTGGTTTGAGTTGAGCACAAAAAGAAGAACACAACGACGATGAAGACGATGGATGAGGAAGAAGCAAACTTTGACTCCATTGCAAGGATTTAAAACTGAGATTGACTTAAACTATATGGATAGAGTTTATGAGTACTTTGTAAAGAATGTAGTGACTTTGCATGGTGTGCATGGTTCTTATATAGAACAATTTTACAATAAGAATTGCCAAAAAAATTAATTTTGGATTGGATTGACGACTGGACTTTCCATCTTTTCATTTGATGTTATATATAATCTTATTTTTTTTATTAGATTTTCTTATGAATAGAATTTTCTCATCATCCATTAGATTTTTATTAGATTTTCTTGTGAGTAGAATTTTCTCATCAGTCATTAGATTCATTTTTTTTTTTATCTAGATAATATAAAATTTAGTAAAAAATTTATAAAGAATTTTCCTAAAAAAATAAAGTACGTATCCACTGCAATGGATAAAGCTACGTCCATGCTCTTTGTTTGCCTAGTCAGATGATTTATTTCAACCATATAATAACACAACCTATTACTAAACTTTCCTTAAAGTTACGTAAACATCATAAAATTTCATTATATATTGCACGGTTTTCTCGAAAAAATCAGCTTTTTGGCAATTATTAAGTATATTTTGGACTAATCATAAAATGACATGTGTATTCCAAGTGTTATAAAATTAAGAAAATATATTTAAAAAATATGTATTGAGCTTTTGAACCTCAAAGATACTACAATGTTTTTGCTTATATTATATAATAATAATTATAAATATAATTTTTACAGCTTATATTGTTTGAAAACACGTTGCATGGTTTAGGAAAGTAAAAAAAACGCTGAAACATGGAATTTGATAGGTTTTATTGATATTATTTTATCGTTATTATGGAAAAAACTTTTTGATAGATTTTATTGATATGGTTGTATTCAACATTATTATGGAAATTTCTTTTATTGGTCACATATATTATTTTTTTTTTATTTTATAATAATAGGCATTATTGAAATTATCAATAGAAGATGAAACGTGGCAGTTTCCTTAATCTCATTTTTTATATGCAGTAATTTCTTTTCTTTTCTTTTTTTAAAGATTAGAACATGTGTAGAGTATGAGTTGTAATTATAATCAATAGTGACATAAGGTTAATTCCATCCAAATTAAAATTTCAAATTAAAAAAATAAAAAAATAAACTACACTAATATCTTTTGAAGTTTAAAAAAATTACACAAAGTTCTACAAGTTTAATATAATTATATTATGGTAATTTAGGCTCTATTTGAATTTTTTCAAAAAAACAAAATAAGGGTGAATTTGTGGAGAAGAAAAAAAGTGAAAAAAAAGTACTTTTATTTTATTCACTTTTCTCTTGATTTGTTTTTTCCCCCCACCTTTGTATGGTATAATTCAGATTTTAAATTAATTTGAACGTTAGATTGAATATTATGAGTATTTGTCATTTTAAGAATTGCTCTTGATCTATTTGGCAATATAATTGTTTTGTAACAAAAAAAAATGAAAAATTAAACGTATATAAAATTTAAATTTACGGTGTATACTTTGATTTGATATGGTTAAGCCGCACATAAAATAAATCTAATTCATACATTATAAATTATAGTCACTTTTGTGATTCTTTTTTTTGGATATACAGTGTTCTTGATTTTAGTAATTTTTAAATTTTTTGACTTTTTAAAAAGTTTTAAAAAAGAGATTTGGGAAGTCGCTCAAAAAATCATTTTTTGTGAGACAATTTTCTTTATGTATTGTTTGACTTTTTTTTAACTGATCATAAAAAAATACGTGACTTTAACCCAAGGATTAGATCAGTTTAATAAGATAACGGTTTGCGTAACTGAAAGTTCCGAATTCGAAACTTATATCAACTTTCTTATAGTCCTTGACTAAAATTGAGGGGTGAAGGGTGAGTTCCTCGACATCCTTCCTTGAGTTGGCTCGTGAGGTCGGTTCATAAATGAGCTAGGCCTTGAGAGTTCCCAGACCATCAAACTTTAAAATAAAAAGAGACTTTTTGACATTTTATAACTCATCCCCAAATGTCCGCATAATTACATATGACCTTAACAATACTCTAATAGGTATGTTTACACAATTTTTAGTGTCCTATTTTATTAGGAATTTTTATTTATTTATTTATTTATTTTTAATCTTGTCATAGAATCAAATTTAGAATGCTTATACTAGAGATGAGATGGACTCAATTTGTAAGTGTTTTATTATTATTAATTTTTTTGATTTTGATCAGAAAAATAAAACTTTTATTTATGACCATGACTGATGATGGTGGTTTCATATGGATTTGGTGGTATACATATTATACGCGTGCATTATATTTCAATTTTTGAATTGTTCGTTGAATGAAAAATATTAATTGGTTACAAAAATTGATTAGCTGTTATGATGATATATTTATTTTATTTAGGTAATATTTTTGAAAATCAAAATTATGTGACAAAATTTTAAAAAACTGTTTTGAATTATGTGTTTTATAAAATACAACTATGCTATAACGTTCCATATGCCTACTCTGAGTGATTTAAATCATCTAGCTTGGAAAAAATAATTCTATCCACATAGAACGTGCCTAGGTCATAGAGTTGGCTTCGGCGGTGTTGGCTTTCAAATATTTTTTATTTTTAATTCTATTTTATGGATTAGTAACGTCTTAATTATTTTAATTTGCCAAAAACAAAAGGCATTTTTGAAGGCATAGAGTGCAACTTGTAGATCAACGTCGAACAGTCCTAGTATGATCATACCTGGAAACAAGACATTCTTGGTGAAGCAACCGGTCCGATTTGAAGGTCCATGCAAGTCCTCTATGTCTAGGTATTTATTTATTAAATCTCATGATTTTCATTTTATTTTTTTCAATTATATTTTAAATCATTTTATTTCCGTCGCCACTTGCCATTTCTCACTCTTTTTTATATTTTTAAATTTTTTTAAACATTTTGTCAATTACCAAACGCGTTTGTAGTTTATGTTTTTCTAAAAATAAATAAAAACCATTTTATAAAATTTTTGTAAATATAAACTGAAAACGTAAACGTTACCAAACACACCCGTGTTTTATTATTATTAATTTTTTTGATTTTGATCAAAAAAATAAAACTTATTTATGACCATGACTGATGAAGGAGGTTTCATATGGATTTGGTGGTATACATATTATACGCGTGCATTATATTTCAATCTTTGAATTGTTCGTTGAATGAAAAATATTAATTGGTTACAAAAATTGATTAGCTGTTATGATGATATATTTATTTTATTTAGGTAATATTTTTGAAAATCAAAATTATGTGACAAAATTTTAAAAAACTGTTTTGAATTATGTGTTTTATAAAATACAACTATGCTATAACGTTCCATATGCCTACTCTAAGTGATTTATATCATCTAGCTTGGAAAGAATAATTCTATCCACATAGAACGTGCCTAGGTCATAGAGTTGGCCAGGTCATAGAGTTGGCTTCGGCGGTGTTGGCTTTCAAATATTTTTTATTTTTTATTCTATATTTTATGGATTAGTAACGTCTTAATTATTTTAATTTGTCAAAAACGAAAGACATTTTTTGAAGGCATGGAGTGCAACTTGTGGATCAACATCGAACGGTCCTAATATGATCATACGTGAAAACAAGACATTCTTGGTGAAGCAACCGATCCGATTGAAAGTCTATACAAATCCTTTATGTCCAGGTATTTATTTATTAAAACTCATGATTTTCATTTTATTTTTTTTAATTATATTTATGATCATACCTGGAAACAAGACATTCTTGGTGAAACAACCGGTCCGATTGAAGGTCCATGCAAGTCCTCTATGTTCAGGTATTTATTTATTAAAACTCATGATTTTCATTTTATTTTTTTCAATTATATTTTAAATCATTTTATTTATATGTGTGTGTGTATACTTTATATTGCAATTTTTTCTTGATATTTTTTTTCCCTTATTTTTAAATCAGTAGTACTAATACGGAAACAAGTCATAGGATGAGACACATGGCTGGTTTAACAATTACGTTTTTAATAATTTTATTCTTTTTCCTTTTTTTAATAATTTTTTAAGATAAAATTATTGGTAAAAACGTTACATTTTGATATTGAAAAGCTGGGGTGGGGTTTGGAATTGTCTTTGGTGTTTAAAAAAATACAGTTTTTAGATCTTCAAAATTGAAAGTACTTGAAATTTAAAAAATAATAATAATAACTTTAAAATTTTTACCAAAACTAAAAAATAAAAAATAACCTTTAAGCACTTGCCAAAGATGATGTGTCTTGTTAAAAAAGCAACTCTTTTTTTTTTTTTTTAAATCTTGTCATCTAAATTAGCATATTTTTTAGTAACGATTTCTTGCCCAAACATGCAATTTTTTTTTCCCTTTTGATTTAAATAGACGGAAAAAAAAATTTTAATAGTAACCAAACAGAGACACACTGCGTGCAAGTTCCACGTTTATTGTGTTTTTGTGATTTATTTTTACATTAATATTCTCTTTTTTTTAATAACTTTAAAATACCCAACAATTCTGCTATGATTAAAATGCAATTTTCTTCTTCTTTTTCATTGATGAAATGCAGGTTTGGAGTGACATTAAAGCACCAGACATGATGAATTTTGGTGATATTAACTCTTATACTTTGCTTGTTTTCTCAAATGTTAATAGGCTTATTGTCAGTGGAACTGGACAAATTGATGGTACTGAAAAATCTTGGTGGGATTCCTGTCCAAAGGTGGGTTCTGTTTGGATGTGAGAAAAAATAATAATACTAATAATAATAATAATTGGAGTTTTTCATCTTGGTTAGAAAATTAAAAATATATATTATTGCAATTCTAACTTTTTATTTGGATGGACAATGATTACAAGAGGAGGATACATGTGTTTTTTTTTTTTTTTTTTTTGGAGGATACATGTATTTTTTTTTTTTTAAATTCTAATTTCCTCTATGTTTAGGGTGTTAGTTTAGGTATTATAAATTTTTTTGTAAAGAGTAATTTTAGTTTTTCAATAAATCTTACAACTTTTGGTGAAAAATAAGACTTACGTTTGAAGTTATTTGTTTTTCTCACCAATTTTCTTTCTTTCTTGTAATTACTCACCTTATTAATCATACAAACAAGGGTTGATAAAAAAATCTCATTCTCTTTGAATCTTTTCTTTTCCCACCAAACCCTCAATCCAAATACAATGTTACTTATTAATTTCATCTAATCCTAATTAAACTCATGCATGGCACGAGATTATCTATATGTCTCAAATCCTTGTTCCTTTGTTCTAAAACATTCAAAATTGTTTGGATTATGCTCATTTAATTTTACCGTATCATTCTTGTAAAAAAATTTATATAGAATTTTTATTTGTACATCATTACTCATTTGAAAATTTTCTTACATGTGTTTTCAATTTTCATCTACAGGGAACAAATTGCAAGACGAGGCCTGCTGTAAGTAAAAATTTCTATTTTTACTCTCGGGCAATTTATATTGTTTATTGGCTCATACTCATGAAAGCATGCTTATTAAAAAATAAAAAAAAAGTTAATTTTTTTTTTATAAAATAATAAATCAACGTCTTTGATCCTAAACCCAATATTTTTATTTTTATTTTAAACAAGTTTAAAAATTCTCTTTGAGTTTAAGAAAATACTACATGGTGGGTATCTTGAAAAATCAGAATAAATTGTTATATGCATTATTAGAAGCACATATTGTTCTTAAATTAAAGATGTTTGAGCTCAAACAGTTACAATTTTCATTGCCAGGCTTTGACGTTCAATCGGTGTAACAACCTTCAGCTAAGTGGATTGAGGCATGTCAATAGCGCAAATAACCGCATTTCGATTACCAACTGTGCAGTTGCCACCATCTCAAACATTCATATAACTACACCTAAAACTAGCCCTAACACCGATGGCATTGACATCAGCAATTCCACCCGTATTCAGATTCACGATTCTTACATTGGAACTGGTTTCATTTTTTAAAAACTTTTTATTTGGTCTTTTTAGCAGTTTTCCTTCATTTGATGTTTGTTGCTTAGTACATATTTACTTGTATGAATTTTATCCAAAAAAAAAAATTGCAATAATTGTAGGTGATGACTGCATTGCTATGATTAATGGCTGCAAATTTATCAACATTACTGGCGTAAATTGCGGTCCAGGCCATGGAATAAGGTTAAAATTCTCATTAAAATGAATTTTATTTACAAAATTGCTTCCACTACATAATTTTACGAAAAAATTATGCATAAACTTTCATAAGAATAATAAATTTAAGTTCCAACGAGTTATTTTTTGAAAATATATATATATATATATTTCTTTTCTTTTGTTTGTTAGCATTGGAAGCTTGGGAAAAAATGGAAGTAGAGCTACAGTGGAAGAACTACTTGTGAACAATTGTACCTTCAATGGAACTCAAAATGTGGGGCAAGGATCAAGACATGGCAAGGAAGAAACTCAAACTAAGTTTAGAAATTAATTTAATCTGACTTTATTTGCCTTAATTATATATTTTGTTCCTTTTCTCAAATTCATATGTTAATTTTTTGTGTGTTTTTTAGGGCAGGTCCGGATATGCTAAGATAATTTCTTTCGTTGACATTATACTTATTGAAACAGACAACCCTATATTGATCAACCAGTATTATTGTCCACATGACCCTTGCAAAAATGGAGTGAGAGTATATACCTTGGATTAGTACATACATTATTATCAATACCTTATATCGTTATGTACATTTGTTGTTGTTGTTGTTTATCATTTTTTTTTTAATTTACTAATGATGAAATTGATATTTGTATATACATAATTTACTAATGATGAAATCGATTAGTATATACATAATTTACTACCGCACCGATTTTGATAATTCCATAAAGAGGTTTGAATTACACTGTCTACTGTGATGTGTCCGGGAATGGACTTGGTTGTGTCTTGATGCAAGAGGGAAAAGTTGTGGCCTACGGTTCACGACAATGGAAAACTCATAAGAAAAATTACCCCACCCATGATCTAGAATTAGCAGCGGTGATTTTTGCTTTGAAAAATTGGAGGCATTACTTGTACGGTGAGAAATTTGAAGTCTTCTCCAATCATAAGAGTCTAAAGTATTTGTTTTCTCAAAAAGACTTGAATTTACGACAACAGAGGTGGATGGAATTTATGGAGGATTATGACTTTGAGTTACACTATCATCTAGGGAAGGCCAATGTGGTGGCCGATGTTTTGAGTCGAAAATTTGTGAGTAGTTTGGCAAGTGTGACCATTCGAGAATGGGATATGCTAGATGTTATTGGCAAGTTTGATTTGCACTTGGGTGAGTCCGGAGAGAGTGCTACCTTATTTACTTTAAATGTTCAACCTACCTTGGTTAGAAAGGTCCTAGAGGCACAACGAGGAGACCGTGATGTGGAATCAATCTGTGTTAAGATTTCTAATGGAAAAGAAGAGAAAGGTTTGAACGTTACCTAGACCGTTTGTTTTTACCAAAATCTTGTAGAGAGGAAGTACTTTGGGAGTTCCATCACTCACGTCTTGCGGTATACCCGGGAGGCACTAAAATGTATCATGATCTTAGTCGTCAATTTTGTTGGAGGGGTATGAACCGGGATGTCGCTTTATTTGTATCAAGTGCCTTACTTGTTAACAAGTGAAGGCCGAACACCAAAGACCAGCGGGTTTGTTACAACCCTTACCGATAGCTGAGTGGAAATGAAAGCATGTTACCATGGATTTTGTAGTTGGGCTTCCTAGAACACAACGAGGCAATGACGCCGTTTGGGTGATTATTGATAGGTTGACTAAGTCTACCCATTTCATTCCGATGTGCACCAGCAACTCAGTTGAACACTTGGCAGAGTTGTACATTAGAGAGATAGTTCGACTTCATGGAGTTCCTGTGACTATTGTGTCGGATAGAGATCCTCGTTTTACTCATCGGTTATGGCAAAGCCTTCAAGAAGCGTTGGAAACTAAGTTGACTCTTAGCACCGCTTATCATCCTCAAACCGATGGACAGTCGGAACGTACCATTCAGATTTTAGAGGACATGCTTAGAGCTTGTGTCCTTGATTTTAAAGGGCCTTGGGAAAGGCACTTACCATTGATTGAGTTTGCTTACAACAACAGTTACCAAGCTAGTATTGGGATGGCACCATTTGAGGCCTTGTATGGCCGATCTTGTAGATCACCGGTTTGTTGGGCCGGAGTGAGTGGTGCACCGTTACTAGGTCCAGAAATTGTTAGAGAGACAACCGAGAAAGTTGTTCTCATTCGGAAAAAGTTAGCTATGGCCCAAAGGCGACAAAAGAGTTATGCTGATAAGAGGAGACGACCTTTATCTTTTGAAGTTGGTGACCATGTGTTTCTAAAAATCTCACCAAGGTGGGGTTTGATGAGATTTGGTAAGAATGATAAATTATCTCCAATGTTCATTGGGCCTTTTGAGATCTTAGAGTGAATTGGGGAAGTGGCATACCAGTTAGCTTTACTACCACAACTTTCGGGAGTTCACAACATATTTCATGTAGCTATGCTTAGGAAATATGAACCCGACCCTTCTCATGTGTTTGATTAGGCTGACTTGAAGGTAGATGAGGATGCCTCTTACAAAAAACGACCGGTTCAAATATTAAATACCCGGGAGCAGGTGCTACGAGGCAAAACTATACCGTTGGTAAAGGTGCTGTTGAGACACCATGGGGTTAAAGAAGCGACGTGGGAACGGGAGGCGGAAGTCTGTTCCAAATATCCGAATTTATTTGAAAATGCTGAAGTTGCTTTTCTTTGTAATATTCCCTAGTGTTGAGGGAAGCGTATTTAAAGTTGTTAACCACATGTTGATATGTGCGTTATTGTTTTAAGCATAAGGTTGTTTAGAGTTGCCATTACTTTTTGAGAAATTTCATGTTTATGTGTATTTAGGAGGTTGTTGTTAATGAGATAACCATGGTGGAAATTGTGAAATTTGGTTGAGAGTTAGTATTGTGATTTGAAAATAAAATAGCATGGTTTTGATCGCTAAAAACCCTTTGTTTGGGTAGTTTGATTTGAAATTTCGGGGACAAAATTCTTTAAGGGGGGAAGGTTGTAGCGATCCCAGTTTTGCCACTTTGCTGAGTATGTCGGGGATCGAGCTGCCCGGTCAGCTCACAGAGGTCTAGGAGGCAACGTCCCTTGGCAGGTCCAAGGGCAGCGCCCTGGCAAGAATCGAGCTGCTCGGTCAGCTCGCGGGGGTCTAGGGGGCAACGCCCATTGGCGGGTCCTAGGGCAGCGCCCTGGCGGGGTTGAGGGGCAGTGCCCTCGAAGCAAAAATGCAAAATGCATTAGAAGTTGCTTGTCCGCTCGAGTGGCCGTTTATGCGCTCGAGCGGAGAATGTTTGATTTCAGAAGTTTGACCTGTCTACAAAAATACTGGAAAAGTGTATTTGACGCTCGAGCGGGGCTTTTGACGCTCGAGCTGGGCTTTCCATGCTCGAGCGGACCATGTTATATCAGTTCATGAATATGATATTTCAGATCACTTTTGTATATCTCTCTCTCTCTCTCTAAACACCATTTCCTCTCCCTTCCCTCTATATTTCCTTACACCAAATTGGATCAAAACCTTGATTTCTCAATATCCATTAGAGTTCTGCCATAAGTTCTTCATCAAAGTTGATTAACTTCTCAAGGGCTTCGTTGTGTGCGGTGAAGATTGAGTTTCGACACCGTTGATTTTGGGGGTTTCATCTCATTTCTTTTTCTTAGAGTTATATATATATTTTTGCAAGATCTATATGATTTTCGAAATCATCTTTCGATAGCTTTGAAAATTGATTGTTGATTCAAGAAGTTGAGTGATTTTGAAAGTGGGCTTGTCTCTTGTTCTTTTAAAATGATCTTATGGGTTTTGATCTTCGTTGATTGAAGAAAATATGATTTTGGAAAGTTTTCTTTCAAATGATTTGTGTTGTATAGTTTTGGTGAGAAAACCTAGAATTTGGGAATTTTTTTAAAAGAGACTAAAAATCTATGAATGATATTGTTGTATTTATTTTGTATGTCAAAATAAATGGATGTTTGAAAATTTTCATATTTATATTTATATAAATGATGAATTTAAGGGAATATGAGAATTGTTGTTCATTTTGGAAATTATTGTTCAAAACGTTGAAATAGTTTTAAAATGACTAATTGTTGAGGATACTTGAGAAGAGGGAATTATATTATTCCTTGGATGATGAATTGAAATAAAAGTATTTATATTCATCTTATGTTATTGGCATAACAATTCATTTGATTACATTAAACTTTGAAAGTTGATTTGAAAACTTGCATTGAGAAAAGAATATTGAGAAACAAGTTTTCATGAAATGGTTTTAAGTAAATACGTTGGTAAGTCTTGATAGGTGGTGTAGATGATATTGAATAAGTTGGCCTGAGAGTCTGGGGTGAAAGACCGAAAACCCGTGTGGATAGGTGTTGAGCCTTCCAGTTAATACCGATAAAAATGACAATTTGGTAGTACTTGTATAGTCTACTTGCAGACACTGACCAAGGAATTACCAGAGTCATATTTACCGCCCTTGAATAAATTGTTAAGTTTTGAACAATTGAAATTGCATGACATCATTGAGCATGATGGTTTTCAAAAGATGAGAATGTGATTTATCTTCAAAAATGAGCATAGCATGACATGTGCATTTCATCTCTTGAGACTTGTATAAAATGTATATACTTTGTTAAGGATTTCCTACTAGGCTTTATGCTCAGCCTACGGGATTTTTGTGCAGGAAAAGATGTGGTGATGCCACCTAACTAAAGGTGAGTAAATGTGTGTTGAGAGTACAAGACTCTCATTTTGCTGTGACTCTGTGTGTAAGCCAAGGGTTGTATTTGTGTGGGTTTGAATATTCGTTTTGTGTAATCAGGCTCAAGCCTTGGAAACTTGTAAACTGGATATTTATTTATTTATTTACTTTTTGTTGGATTAATGTAT